TTACCGAGTAAGGCGATTCATAATAGCTTGAGCGTATCAAAATTTCATTTCATCAGTTCTTTGAAAGATATTACTGCAATTTACATAATCTTTGCAACAAACTTCAATACTTGAATTATTCATCGCTCGTACAACATAACAGTGTCGTTCCAACTTTCAGAAATATGCTAATGACGTATATAACTAGGTAATATATATATATATATATATATATATATATATATATATATATTGACGTTATAAATTAACTTGTTGCCAGACACTCTCAAGTTTCTTATCAAGATACCAATTATATGTCTATTTGTATTCAGTGTTGTTCACAAGCTTATTATGAATAATAATAATAAATTTTTTCAGAACTATGAAAGCAAACTAGACATTTTTTATGGCTGACGTAAAATAAATTATCCATATCTGACACTTAAAAAATTTTCATTGACTGGATGTTTCCCTGGATAAATGATAACTTTCAAAAAAATTTTGCATTGAAAAAAAGAAGGCACACACAATTCTTATAAGTATTTCTTATAATTTCCGATTAAAAACTAACCATCATTATTGATGATAAATAGTAAATTAAACTTGCACAGGTAAAGATCATTGTCCATAATTTTTTCTGTGTTTCTAATCTAATTGAATAAGCTGGTCGACGCTTAGAATGAATCGTTCTATTTGAAACGAATTATGTCCAGTGATCGTAATGGAATTATTTTTTGTAAATACACATGTGATTTTTAGAAATATCTATAACTTGTTACGAGAATCAGTGATAAACTAAGGTCTCGGGCACAATTATGGAAAAAATAAAATAATCATAATAATTGTTTTATTCGTGTTTGTGACTTTAGAATATTACATAATGTAAACTCGTTGACCAATGACTAGAAGAGTTCAACTGTGTCAGGTGTGAGGCAGTTATTCACCGGATACAATGGTAGATGATCGTTTAATATTATGAATTGACTGACGTTAAAAAAAGATCGCAGTAAATAGTAGCTCAATGGTGTGGAGGTTAAGCGATTACAATCGGAACTGAATGTCGTGGGTTCGATCACCGATGACAAAGCCATGGATGAGCACTACTGAGAAGTTTCATACTGAGACAAAATAACCATCCAGTGATTTCATGCTGCATATAGTGTTCTAACGCTGATTGGTTCCTAATTCCAATGAAACTCAATAATCTCCACAACATCATTCTGGTAAACCCTATCAATCAGTATCAAGTCTTCATTCGGGACACTAGTTAAATCTTTTCACTAAAAGCAATCACATTTTCAACATAGGTTTCAAACCATCTGGATCAATAGCCTGATGGATATAATTTGATTGGGTTTAAGGATATGGTGTTACTTATTACTGAGTAATCCATTAGTTTAAAGTATTTACTTTGTGAAAACTAATGAAGCCAGTAATTATGACTAGTCACTTTCGTCTTAATATACTTATAACCTTTCTTCTTTGGTACTATGCTGAAAAGTATTACCAACTTATTAGGCATTTTAATTTAAAGCTTTAGGATTTCACTAGTAATATTTAGTTTTTTAATGCAATGATTTATCCCTCCCTTCTCAACAGTTGATTAGACAAGTTTTATTTTACAGGATAATCGCACAGAAACTTTCTATCACTTGATTAACTAGACATCACTATTGGTTACTAGAAAATTTAATAAACTCAATTTTTTCATATTGAAAAGTGTACCACTAATTTTATTCAATTTTTTATTTAACGTCGAAATAACTTACTATTTTTTTTTTCACCTAATTCAACTGAATATAGTGATGACCACCGAAGCTGTTAACTTGAACACCTACTCATATTAAGCATTCCATTCAACTAAATGGAATAATTTTGTGTTAAACTTTTATCTGTCAGACTCTTATGATAGTTAAAGTAGGAAAGTATGAAAATCCAAAATAGATTTTCAGGAGTTATTGTATCATTATTAGTCAGGAGGCATCATGCGAAAGAAACATTATTACGTCACTAAGTGAAATTAGTATCTCTATTTGAAAATTTACCAGCAAACAAAAACTAAAATAAACTTTTTAAATCTGTTTAACCAATAATTGCATAACATATAAAAAATATACATATATAACAGCATGGTATAATGTGTAATAAATCATTAAAGCAAATTGATAAACGATGCTACTGTCAGACAAAAAACTGACTAATCAATTGTTAATTTAAAACTATGTGAAGTAGTTGTGCAAAACTTTGTTGAAAATCATAGACTACACCTTTAGATCCTGACTGAGTTCAAGAATTTGCATGTGAGACTGTAGTTCTTACATTTACTCCCCATGTGGAGGTTCGTATTACACATTGTTAAGAAGTCCTATTCTAAGAAGAAATAGCTATCCAGTGCTTCATTGGTGGTCGAGTTGAGACTGTTTCCTAATTGCAACTGGCAAAGCAATACAGTTCCGACAAATTCTCAATACAAATAAAACATACGAGTAGAAATTGTCTTATAGTATTGTGTATATCATCTTTTTCTTAATTCATAATTGAAGGTCAGCCTATCAACACACTCTTTCACTGGTAGAATATTACAATCAAAAAATCTTGAATAGTAAATAAAGTAGCAAAAACTTATTTCATCTAAATTATGTTCTGAAAATATTTTTTGTGAATATTAGATTTCTTCTTAATGTGATTGACATTTCAAGAAGAAGTTGATTAATTTGTCACTTTATTTTATCTTATAAAGCTTTAAGCAAATTTGCAAGTCATGTTTCCCTAGAAATAAGAATAATTTTTTCCAAGAAACGGATGCTTAATTTGATATAATACTGAGAATGCTTGATGCACTAGTTTTACTGGATACTCTAGTTACATGTAACGTGTTGAAGTTTTCGAACAACTGATAAAACTAAAATACACATATATTATTCATTAATATATCATAAATATAGTGAAATACGCATATTAGAATTTGATGCTCAATCAATAGATTAATGTGTCATTAACTTTGGAAGATTGTTACATTCACTAGTTGAGGTTAAATTTCAAGTTTCATATCGAATTTTATTGTTCATAAATAACAGAAATAAAGAAAACTAGTGCTCACAGAATACACCGGTTAATATGCATGTCCCAGAGAGCATGCTATCGATTATTTATAGGATAATGAGGAAAATTATTGGTGAGGGATTTTCCAATATGGGGCCCTCTTAAAAATCGATCTTGTGTGACCTTCCACTCCTACTTTGTTAATTTAGTCTTTACTTGACGTAACCGAGGACACATAATCTTAATACTCTACTTACAATGAAACAGTTCAATATTTAGAAACTTCATCTCTCTGTATGAATTACTTCATTGGTAAATTTTTGACACAAATAATTTATCACAGTCTGTCATTCAAATAAAATCACTGTCATTGTTTATTAGCTGCATCATAGCCTATTATTCATAAAATGTCTTAAATAAGCTTGCAACTGTCTGTATATCCCATTCCACAAGTGAGATTACAGGAACTTTAAATTTTTCAACAGTTTATGATCGAGCCAGTTAATTAACCTTCCTACTAGCAGATAATCTAAACTAACATTGTCTCCTGTAAATTTTAGTGATTTGAATGACATCTAATTCGAATATTAAAACATTAAACAACCGTGTACCTGAATCCTAGTAGACTTAAAAAACTGCATTCATCGCTCCGTGCTCTCTGTTTTCATTTTATTTCCTCTGAGTGTACATGATTATAATCATTGCATTATGACACTAGAAACGACACTAAATACACAGTTCATACAACAACGGGATGTCTAGTTAAGAAGAATTAGTAGTTCCTATAGGACAACTTGCATTACCGTAATACAAGTGAAAAAGTACTTAGTAAACAATACTGAATATCTCGTGTCCAATTCCTGGTTATGAAGGCGTGGGTGTACACTGACACGAAGTGAATTATTAAGACAAAATGATTATCGAACTTGGATCGTTCCGTGATCCCAATGACTTAATGCAATTCTTTCTCACATTTAAGCTTCATATTATTTTTGCGAGCAGTTCATCGTACGTATGAATTTTAACTTGAAGAAGTGTAGTATATTTTAAGCAATTGGGAGATTAACTTTTTCGATTGAGAGGAATTATGTACGCCATATTATCAATTAATGCCTTTTACGAGTTAATTAAGCCATTAGCGCTTCTAAACTCGGTAGTTTGTTATGTAAACACACATTGTTTTCTTTTGATTATTAACAGCAGAAAAAAAACAGCTAAGCAAACAATTGAGCACTTTTTAAGCTAAAATGATTTGTGTGGTAGTATGTGGAATCATTAGGATGATAGTGAAAAACAGGCATTCTATCACATCTATGGTATCATTCTATTATGATGCAGAAAGAGATTTCAGTCTGTTGAAATAACTTTTACAGCATATTTCAACTTCAACTTGAGTGACTGACGAAAAACGAATCATATTCTCCCACCAAATGTAACTACTCTGTTTGAACCTGTTTATATGTATGAAAAAAATCATTTTGTACAAACAGGACCTGTTTTCCTATATATTTTAACGACCTAGATGTTGGACAAAATGTTTATCAATATGTCCATTTCATTATGTTGGCCACAATTTGATCATGAGTTTTTTTTGAAAGTAAAATGACTGTTGGTATTACTGACAAAATACATTTGCCTTTGTTAAGCTTACGAATTCAAAAATATGAGTACACACGTACACAGTTGTTAAAAGTGAATATTAGAGCGTAAACAGTTTCAATACAACTAGCTGACTCAGCATTTCATATAATTGCATCAATATGATATTTTATTGGTTTAAATTATTTCGTTTGTGCACATGTATGTGTGCAGGCGATTCAGTGTGCAACCACATTGAACAAACAATTAATGCAGACAAACGAAGATGTGTTTGAGTGTGCATTGACTTTTCTGGAAGCTAGATGAATATATATCTAATTAAAGAAAACCAGTGATCCCAGTCGCTTAACCCAGTTTTGCGGAATGGTTAAAATATTTGCATGTTTAATTATCTAAAAAGAATGTTTTGTGGTGAATTTGATACTGATGAACTATCCAACATTAATGTTGAAGGCAATCTTGGCATTAAAGTATCATCACCTTCAGTATCCTTTGGATGTATCGGTAGGTACAATTTCAATCGATCTTTATCAAGGTAAATTAAACATTCATCTATCAACTAAACGGACTTTCTAATATCCTTCGATCATATTTATAAATATATATATATTGATTATTTATAATCAGAAATCATTCGCGGAGCATGTGAAATTATGTTATACTGAAGGTAGTTTGATTCGATACTTTGATTTGGCCTTATAATCTTTACAAGGAACAGTTATTGCTACATGCTAAGGAGGGCATTTTTAACATTTATAAGACTGATAGTTTAGGTCTTTAGTGAAGAAATAACTATGATGAAACTTACTATTCAAAACAAGGAGACTTAACTAATTTGCATGGTTATGTATCACTCTCTGGTATACGTTAAAAAAGAAGTCTAATGGCAGTTATGTATTTAGTATTGATTCATCCCGCCTATAATATATTTCTTTCTATGGAGGCATGATATTTTGATGTACAATTCACTCTAATCGTCTCTTTATGATTTGCAATGTTTTGAGAACATTTAATGTGATGGTTGGAATTCATCTCTACCAGATTTCAATTACACAATCAGCCATCATGGCAGCGAAGAAATGGCGCTGATTAGTAAACGGATGAGTTGGTTCAATATACATTTTAAATGTAGGGAAATGGGTTAAGTAATTGCAATGGATCTTCCTTTTACTTAGTAAAAAGATTTGCTCATAGAAATTCTTTTACAGAATGTTGAATGCAGTCTGAGAGAGTTAAATCTGCAGAGTTCTGTAGTTTGAGTAGTTTACTTTACTAGTTAACCGATAAATGAAGCAGTGCTTAGAGATTTTGCGAATGATATTTGTACGTTGGCTTTTTTAATGTTAATAATTACCAAATAATATCAACTATATTCCAGTAAAGATTTCATGTATTATGCTGTAAGTTTTGAATTTACTTGCTACCGCATATCGAGCCAATTCTTTTTTCTGATGCTTATTAATTTTGTAATGACTTTATAAAAGCTTCCGATTATTTGTAGTACAGGTCAACAGTCCGAGCCTATGTTGTTTGTTTTCTTTTCAACTAGATGTTATCTTTTTACTCTGGTTCAGACTAAGATGAATCTTTGAGAAGTTGCCTGTCATGGAAATATTACCAAAGAACTGTATAAGTAAATTGAAATAAAAATGAAATATGATAATCGCATCGACTGTATCCAAGTGATAAGTTGATCTGCTTCGTTCCATAAGATTTTTCAAATATTTCATCCAAGTTTATAATGACCTTCCGTTATTAGTTAGAACACTATTTCGTTGACCTCTCGACAGAAAAAAAATTTATGGTATGGAATTCTATCTGGATTGTATTACTAAGCGCTAACTTGTAAAGTAACATAACTGGTAATTGAATCTTCACCAAAATCAAGACAATAATCAGTTAATTAATTCGCAAGTAAATAACCTGTCCTAACTAGGACAAAATTGGTCTACTTTACAACTCACTTCAACTAGTATCCAGGTTATGTTAGGTGCTGATTTAGTGTGAGTAATACATAACCTAGTTATTTTGAAGAGTACATTTTTAAAGTTTGTATCTTTTATAGTTGTTTTTCAGTGAACATAACTCGTAGCTTTAGAATAACACTGGCTGTTTTACAGGGTTATTTTTAATTACTTATTAAATGATTTGAGAACTTACAACCAATATTAGAGAGAATCATGTTACCAAAAGTTCAATAAGTTTTCTATAACCTTGTGTCTATTAGCACAATAAATAGGCTGACGTAAGAATATGCTAATACTTTCATCACCCACTTCCGCTATGAATCAACGAAGGAAACACTGAATAGGTACTTGCTTACTTTCATATTTGATAACTTTTATGGTACTTCTGACGATCAGTAGTTGTATATTAATTTCTCATGAAAAATAATCCTAAACATTAAAAGTAATCCCAAAACGATTATTATCTGATTTTGAAACAAGGTTAGGTAGTGGATATAAATGCAAAGAAATAGAAAAAGATTGATTCGCCTAGTAACGGTTTGTTAAAGATTTTCGAAGGAGAAAATGCAAGTTTATCGTTACATCTATATATTGTAAACAAGCAATTAGATTATATGTCGTACACTTTAGACGATTCGGTTGAGTTTTCCCATTCTTATATCAAGCTACAAGTTTAGGAGTAAGTTGTTTGGGGCAAACGTGATTTAAATGTTGGTAGTTGAAATCAGGATCAAGAACTTACTAGGGTTTATTTATCGTTGAAGATGTGCAATGTTATTGTCCTCAAGATTTCAATGAAAATCCAACCTCTGTAAAATTTTGAAACATGCAACCTTAAAGTTCTCTACAATAGGTAACGTTTATCTCGCAGATGCCAACTAAGAAATCTCCTAAAGTAGCCAAGACTAGCACTCACTTGTGTTATAAACAAGTGTCTTGTTATGGTCTAATTATCCTTAGCTCATATTTCAAACAACGTCCTCTTTGCAATGAGGTGTGATTCAACGTTTTTAGCAGAAGAAACGTTTTTGGAAAATCAATCTGCTCTCACTCATATTTGACTTGTGTCATGCGCTCCTTTCTATTATTTTCCAGTCATCTCTCGGAGAAATCTATTCTCAAACACAATAAATTGAGACTTTTTTTCTTTCATAGATGATGATTAACTGTTATAATGAAATACATTCCAAACTATCAAAAAGTACACTCATACTTAATAGGGAGACTGATATCTCACCTGCTCTATGGACAGCGTAAAGAGATCTTTATATATACTTATCACACCGTAGCTTCTACCTTGTCGTCGAGCTTGCCTATCGTGATTACTTGACCGGGCTATATTGGCTGGGAAATATGTTCCTAAGTGTCCTACCATGCCAGGTAGGTCGACTGGAGAACAGTGAGACTGAAAGCAGAAACTCAAGTCTGAGGGCAAAATCGTACTGCTGACTGTAGAGGGACGTTACGCCAGTAAGGTATTTCCTTCAGACAACCAGCATCTGACAACGATGCTGAGTTCTCAAAAGGAGTGAAAGGGGCTAGAAGAGGTCGGTCCTTAAAATATCACACCTCACCCTACCTCATGGATTTCAGTCTCCGAAGGTAAGGCTATTTGAAGAGTGAAACTAAAACTTTAAAAACTTCTCGTAAAAAAGTGGTGTGTAAGCGTCCTCAAGCAGCTGTCCCTTGGACTCTGCGATCACACTCTCAGTACTCTAATACCAACACTAATCCAAATTTTTTTTAGGTTCCCTAAGGAATACTCTTCACAGTGTGAGCAGCTAGGAAGTGAAAACCATTTTCTTACACATAACAGCGCACACGACAGCTTATCAGTAATCTGTAAGTTATCAACCCACCTGGTTATACTTCGGAAATAAGTGAAATTATCAGCAAGCTTGGATACTTCACTTTCCAACATGACTATGTGCTAACTCAGGTTAACCGTGCAGTTACATTTTGCAGTTGACGGTAGAGAGTAGCACGTAGCACATTAATGTACTGTTGTCCAAGAGTTTCAGATTCTGAATAGTGTTACCCTCTTTACCAAACGGTAGTATTTTATGAGAGCACAAACCATGCGAAGCAGTAAGCCTATAGGAAATATGGTATGGAATCTAAATAGTCATTGCCGGTTGTAGCCAACTATGATGATGATTTTATGAATTCTGTTACCCGACGAATAGTGACAGAATAAAGAAACTTCAGTACCGTTATTTAGTAGTACACTTTTCGGTGACAGATACTGCCTTTAGATCACATATACCGATATCATTTAATTCCTGGAAGGGTGAGTATTTGGTCAAAATATCCGTGACAAGGTCTTACACCTACCTAGTTTTTCAAGTGTTGTTCCTTTCAAACTGTATTTAAGTGCTACGTGATTGCAAAAATTGAAAACTTAGATAATATTTTAATCTATCCTTTTCCTCCATGATCAGCCCAACGGGATTTTGTCTTTTTTTTATAAATCTATATAAGCCGCCTAGTGAGTACGCGAATTACATTTAATATCTTGCACAATATACTTAAACTTCTGTAGCTAAACTGTAGAGGACTTCTGATCTGCCTTAGTTAGAGTTTATTGTAGCATTCCCAAACCTTTTCAAATCCACATGTCCAGAATCAACTCTCTTAGTGATAACCTTTTGGCTTATAAAGTCACTTCATTTAAAAAAGAGAGTTACTAAGTCATATTACCTTTATTTACTAATATTAAAACTAATACGTATGTTTTATCCTGTCGATATGTGTAAATATCATGTTATCATACACTTGATGATAATTATATCGGTAAGGTTTCCACTATCATACAAAACAGATGGAACTCGTTAAAACAGTATTTTGGTATTTACATATTTTTCATTTAAGATACGGGTTATGAAACCAGCTACGGAATAATTACATTAGTCATAATGATAGATTTTTGAACGTTTTACCTCTAATCAACATGAAGTAACCATTCAATTTGCAGTTTATTATACCAACTGATATTAACTGATAAATCGTCAAAAACCAGAAAGCACTAGACAGATATTTCATCATCATCATCATCCTTCACAAGTATGCACCCATAACCTTTACAAATAGCAAACATAGGACCTTCAGAGCAAATTCTAGAAATCTTGATGAAAAATTGTGAACATATCAGTTCATTTGCGTTAAATATAAAATGAGTATCATCAATTGTGAATAGACTAAAGTTAAAAATGAGAAATATTTCATCAAAACTTGTTCATATCAAGGACAACCGCTTCCGTCAAGGTTTGAAGATTAGAGTTAGAATGCATCATGTAGTAGTAGCTCCTCATCACCTAGGATTCCGAATCTAGTATGAGACAGATATCTGGTGCTTCCTGATTTTCAGTTGCTGTTGGATATATAGTTTAAGCATACCTATATATATATATATATATATATATATATATATATATATATATTTATATATAAAGCCCATGATGTCGATGATGAGTGATTCCAAATATTTTGGAAAATATTCTTTATCAGTAGGCAATATTCGCTTCAGTAGTTGATAGA